GAATGGGAAAAAATACATGTTTAATTTACAAAGATCGAGTTACTACAAAATTCCTACAAATTTGTATGCAACGAATTTCGTATGAAGGACTTGCGGTTCCTTCGATCACAGAACAATTCAATTCATAGCGTACGCTTGGATTGTTCAGCAGAAATAGTTAATTTTCTTCTGAAATATCACAATGATTCTCCACTAGAAAGACTCATTTTGAAATGCTACATTAAACTCACTTTACCACAATTTTATTATAAACTAATTCCGTTGATAATAATAAGTGTACAAAATTAATGTACGTTATTAAATAGGAAAGAAGTATCATTTCTCCATTAAGGAAGAAATTTATGAAAAATCTTATAAAATAAAGTCCTATTGTTAGTTAATTTTCGTGAGGATCTATTTTATACCATTTTTCATTTTTGGTGCGATATAAAGCTGTTATTGGCACATTAAATAAACTTTTTTTATAAGAGACCCAACTGTAATGAAACTTTGTTAGGAATACCCCCTTATGATGATGAAAAATCGTGCGAAGTTTTATCCAAATCGGACTTTAACTATAGAGTTTAATGTAGCATTTCAAAATGAGTCTTTCTAGTGGAGAATCATTGTGATATTTCAGAAGAAAATTCACTATTTCTGCTGAACAATCCAAGCGTACGCTATGAATTGAATTGTTCTGTGATCGAAGGAACCGCAAGTCCTTCGTACGAAATTCGTTGCATACAAATTTGCAGGAATTTTGTAGTAACTCGATCTTTGTAAGTTAAACATGTATTTTTTTCCATTCGTTATGAGTATAAAGTGACGAAAAACATCAAAAATCACGATGCTAAAAATTGCCAAACGAAAAAGTGATTTATCGCGGAGAAAGTCTGAAACTTTGAGAAAGAAAATGAAACGTCAGGATGCAGGTTATAGAAAGAAAGAACAAGAAATGGATAGGCTTTCTCACCAAGTTATAAATCAATATCCAGCGAGAAGAAGCCAGGAACAAACCCGAAATACAGAAGCACATCAAATTTTTGACCAAGATGCAGTTAGAAGACGACAGGAGTAATTTCATGAGAGAGAAGCACACCATTCAGCTCGCCAAGATCCTGACCGAACAGCCGCCCGTTGAGCGGCGTTTCTGTAAGTAAATAATAATATAAGATGATGTTCTATCTTGCTGAAGAAAACAACAACAAAAACAAGAACAAACAAACAAGCGAATAACACCATTATATTTGAAACACGAAAAGAAAAGATCTTCATTATATCCTGGTATGTGAGTATTTTTATTGGAATAAAAGAGGCCGTTAATTTTTTATATAAAACATAATATGCTACATTGGATTTCGGCAAGTTTCGCGAGTGCTTTTCAGTGGTGTGTTGATTCACATATTTCCAAGTCCTGAAGCTGCGCCTACTGACTTTTCAAACAGATGGAATGTTGCCAAACTGTACATGATAATGCAACTGATAAACATCATTATGGTCCATCAAGTTGTTTATTTGTTTGTTGAATTTTCGCGCAAAGCTACACGAGGGCTATCTGCGCTAGCCGTCCATAATTTAGCAATGTAAGACTAGAGTGAAGGCAGCTAGTCATCACCACCCACCGCCAACTCTTTTACCAAAGAATAGTGGGTTTGACCGTTACATTATAACGCCCCCACGATTGAAAGGGCGAGCATGTTCGGTGGGACGGGGATTCGAACCCGCGACCCGCAGATTGCGAGTCGACCGCCCTAACCACCTGGCCATGCCGGGCCACCATCAAGTTGAGACACTCTTCACCTCGCAACCATTCTTCGAATGGCCGTTGTTCAGACTGAATTTTTTAAGCACAAACATCTCAGGTGTGCTTTGAAAATCTTCAATGCTGTAGTGTTTTTTTATATCAATAGGATTTTAATAGGAAAATTCCCCATAGGCTTCCCAAAACTGCGTTGAAAAGCCTTAATTGCTGATGCAACTGCGTTTATCACTTACGCTGGATCATCCAGTGATTCTGATGAGACACGTGAATCTTTCGTTTTGTATTGCTTAATTGAGTTTTTTGATATAGTTCGTGCATAATAAAATAACTTCAACAGACTTCAATTACACTTACTACAGAATCATCTGTAATTTTTGCTCAAGATCAATATTTTAGCTTTTGGCGCTATCTGTTAACAAAATCTTGAAACCTGGTGTATGCCGAAACTGACGAGAAAGGATCAAATTTGAAGGATGTTAGACTAACAGGTGCTTTACTGCATGTGCTCATCTTCATTGGTTTACAAGGTGTTTTAAATTGTGCCAAACCATTTATGGACACTTCCCCTGTATATGTGCAATCATTACGTTATTAACTTTCATTCGCTTATAAACTTGTACAATTCAAACCTCAGAAATTAAATAGAATATAGTCTATTTGGATGTAATCCAAAAAATGATAAAAAATAATTAGGGATCTTGCCAAGATTTAAATTTAAAGTGATTGACGTTTACATTCAACCCGCGGATATTACATCCTCTCCAATCAATGGAAATTATAAGCTAACGAGAGTCTCTTCACATTTTACAGATTTTATTTTATGTTTACTATAGCCCTTACCAATGTATATAATAGTTCTTGTCTTTCTTTCTAAAAGTAGGTGGTTGATTGTTGTTAAGCGCAAAGCTACACAATGGGCTATCTATTCCATTCCCACCACAGGTATTGAATCTCGATTTTTAGCGTCGTAAGCTTGCAAACTTACCACTGAACCAATGGTGGAGCTCTGGCACTATAGCACTAATTCTATGTATGTCACATAAAAGAAAGAGTTAAGTAATTGGTAGGCTGATTCCTGTTTGACCACTCCACGTTATAATTATTTTTTTTAGAAACTTTCAGCAAATATTTACTCCAATTTATTTTTTGGTAGAGCGTCAGAAATATACGTAATAGAAACACGTCTAAGACTGAGGAATAGTGTATTATGTAGATACGTATTTATGAAACGTGAAAAATGAAAATAAAAGGAATTTGATTGTAAACGGTGAAAGATACGTGTAAAGGTTCTCGTAGAATAAATTTGAATTTAAGGTGAAGAGTGTTTGGTAACACATATTATTGATATTCAGATTAAAAACGACTGTACATATGTCAAATCTGTAAAATCATTTAAAGTGGCTACAGACTTCTGCATGAAACTTTTCTTTCAAACTATGTGAGCATATCGAATCTCATATTAAAAAAAAAATCTAGCATGTTATTGAATATGGGTGGATGTTTAACTTGTGAGGGTAAACAAAAACAAAGAAACATTTTCTCAGATTTTCATATATATATATATATATATATCAAAATGCTAAGTAAGTTGAAAATTCTCTACCAGCGCATTCTCTGTATGAGACACTACGTATGTTTTCATTTACTCTATGTGTTAACCATAGTATCTTCCCGTATGTGTAAGTTAAAGTTATGTAGATCTATATGGAATTTTAATGCGAAATAAGTATGAATAAAACTCCAAGAGTTATGTATATATAACGACGACATTTTCAAGAATGAACTTTTTTAGAACATGGGATAATGATTAATCATATACACGTATTTCTTACATGCTGCTTTTCTGTACGACGTTTCAAGACGTGTTTGAACATCAAATAAAATTTATAATACTCGTGAAAGAGCAATGATTCGTGGTGCAAATAACAATGAGTGCGTGGTGGACACGAATCAGTGGTCACAAAAACTCTTTTTCAGAGAGCGCTATATCTGTGCTCAACGTGGCCACTGTTCATGTCAATAATGGCTTGCATCCTTGAAATAACGTGATAGACAGCTAAACAAAGCTGTCCAATGTTCAGTATTTCCGCGTGCTGTCGGATGGCCCACTTGACTTTTGGCTATGGGGATAAATAAAATCATTTCTATATCATGCAGCACCTGCTAACGTACCTGATATATATATATACCAAGTATATAAAATCATATAGAATCTTCTGATAAGAAAAATATATACAAAGATGCAGAACAACTCCGCGTTTTTACGGATTGTACATGCGGTGACAGAGACTTAATTTGTCTGTGTAAACCCTTCAGTTCATAAAATATAAATTATCTTAACATAACTCGACGGAACAAGCTGAATAAAGACAAACTGGTGTGTTTCTGGGCTCACTTTGTTCCAAGTCGTATCAGCCATTCGTTATATCGGTGCATAACAGCAGTCCAAAGAATGTACATGCAAAATAATATATACTTTTCATTTTAGTATAATAATTAATCGGTCATCTAGCCTGATATGTCTATTCTATCTGTTTGTACACTCGACCCACTGAACAAAGAAACAAACACTTTATTAAAATTCCAAAGTTCAAAAATAGTTATAAACATTGAATTTATGCATCATAGAATATTTTAAACATTGTTAAGTAGTACCTTTCTTTTCAAGATGGTTAGAAAAAAACATTAGAAAGTTTGTTTTTTTTAATTTCGGGCAAAGCTTCACGAGAGCTATTTGCGCTAACCGTCCCTAATTGAGAAGTGAAAGACTAAAAGGAAGGCAAGCTAGTCATCACCACCCACCGGCAACTCTTGGACTATTCTTTTACTAACGAATAGTCAGATTGATCGTCACATCATAACCCTCCCATGGCTGAAAGGGCGAGCATGTTTGGTGGGACGGGGATTCGAACCCGCAACCCACAGATTACGAGCCATGAGGGAAAATAAGGAATTATAACAATAAATGATCTTCTCCTACAAAACGTCTTTGACTGGACAAACCTATTGATCGAATATAAAATAACTTTTGACTGTACAAACCTATTGATCGAATATAAAATAACCTTTATATTCGATCAATAGGTTTGTACAGTCAAATAAATTTTGACTGTACAAATCTATTGATCGAATATAAAAATAAATTTTGACTGTACAAACCTATTGATCGAATATAAAAATAAATTTTGACTGTATCACTCATAGAAAAAATATGTACTAATCATCAAGCTTTTCTCTAATTAATTTTCATGCTCTTTAGGGCTACACAACAGCTGAACTTAGCAACTAAGAAAAGAAGGAGGTACTACAATGATCACGAGTTTGTAACGACCAAGTTTCGTACAGATTTCGCCAAAATCATCGGTTCGTCTCCTCCTCCTGCTCCTCCTCTTTTATTACGAGCTACAAGTCGGAAGGACGGAATCAGCCTTGGCAAGGTAGGTATATATTGTGATCTTGTTTTAGCTATGAATTAACAACAATAAGCATTTTATACATAGCTCGGTATATTTTTACTTACGTAATTATGGAATGACCATCCTTGTTTTTTGTTAGAGTTCCAGCACTGATAAGGAAGACTCAAACTTTTGTAGTTATAAAGAAAATTTACAAAAGGCGTTTGGAACGTGTGACTAACTCGTAGTATCTAGTCTCCTTAGTTTATTACCGTCTATACTTGTTGCCCCCCCCCCCCAGTGACACATTGGAATGTCTACGGATTTATACTGCGATAAACCGGGTTTCGGTACCTGTGGGCAGAGCACAGATAGCTCTTTGTGTAGCTTTGTGCTTAATAACAAAACAACAACTATACTTGTTGATTATGAATTATACAGATTGCGCCCTCACCTTGTTAAGTGCATCGTTGTAGCAGTTATAAATGATGGGGTTCAACTGTCTTCTGGAAAAAACAAAACAAACATTCATGCATGAAAAAAAATCGAATAAAAAAGTTTTTTTTATAAAACAAATATAGTCTTCATTTCTAATATATCTGGAGAATTCTGTAATATTTCATGTATTATTATTATTGCCCCCACAGTGACACAGTGGGACTTAAAACGCTAGAATTCGGGTTTCGATATCGGTGGTGGGCAGAGCACAGACAGCCCATTGTGTTGCTTTAAGCTTAGATTCAAACAAACAAACAAAGTATTATTATTCTTTGGTGTTAATGATTTCATATTTTATCCAATAAATTCATGGCGTTTCGTACTTTAAAATATATAAAAAGAAGCCTATTTAAAGACTGATGTTATTATAAAATTAATTTGAGGGTCAGATTATTGGAAAACAGCTGCACTTGGGAACTACCAAATTCAGCCGTGGTTTTGCCTTTATACTTATCAAAGCGTTGTTATCTTTAACGTTTAACGGCTCCTTAAAACACGTTTCCTTAACGCTTATGACTACTTAAAACGTTGTGTTTCTTGGCGCAGCTACCTGAAACGCATGGGTATTTAAGTTTTTTGGCTATAAAGTATAAAGTATAAAGT